TTGTATGTGACATCCAATAATTTTCCTCCATTTCTGTTAATTCTGTTTGGGTACCCAATGTTGAGGTTTAAACAGGAATATCTAGAAAATTAAGCCAGTTTGGTAGTATTTTTCTTCTCGAAGTTTTCATAAACAAAAACAATGAAAAGTTGGGAAATGCCCATCGTTTGGACTTTCGATATACTTTTTATTTTATATGAAATTATTCTCGAATTAAAAAAATGGGTTGCTTTTTGAAAATTTTCCACCAAACAAGTCTAGTACTGAAACTCTAGCAAATTGGCAGCAAGAACTACACTAAGGCAACACTTCAAATCTTTTTGGGTAGTGCTGCAAATTTTTATGAACTGACCAGTAATTGGAGTTGGAATTTAGACCTTCTATATTACTTCAAGAGGGTCTACATTTTAAGTGCTCGGGATTTTTTTTAGTTGGATTTTTTTATTTCCCCAAAATTTGCTTCTGAAAGTGAAGACCAGATATATTCTTCAGTTTTAGGGATAATCAATCATTTGATTGAATTGGAAGGAAAACAAAATTTGTTGTAAAAAATAATGTATAGAGAAAGAGAGAGAATAAATTGTATGTATTATTGATTGATATATATTGATGTCTATTACAATGATTCATGATTCCTATATATAGAAGAGGGTGAGTGTGTAGTAGGTAAGGAGTAGGTGAAGTGGAGGTGGTAGTGGTGTAGTGGGTTTAGTGGAGTAGGTGAGGTGCTAGTGGTGTAGTGGGTTAGGTTTAGTGGAGTAGGTTTAAGTGGGTGAAGTAGGTGGAGAGTAGATGAATTTTAACATTTGTGAATTTGTGAAGCAGAAAAAACGGCATGCTAAGAACCATGCGTTAAATGGAAGCATGGATTTGTGCATCACTGATTGCAAACCTATTGTGTATGTGTTTAAAAAAAAAAAAAATTTTTTAAAAAGCTATGAATATTTATGGCACTTTTAGTAATGTGAGAGAGAGAGAGAGAGATGAATAAGAGAGATGCGATGATGGCAACCAATCTTATTATCAGATATATGAAATATTAAGCCGGAGAAACTTGCATAAACCGTGACAAAAAGCTTGGTAAAGCTTTAGTATTACAAGACTACAAAGATTCTCTTATGCTGTGTTTGGTTGGGGAATTTGGGGAGAGAAATGGAAAAGGTAGGTGAAATGTGAATAAAACATGCCTATATTTTACCTAGTTTCACACATCTTTTCCCTTTCTCTTTCCAAATCCCTCTCCAAATCCCCCAACCAAACACAGCATTAATGAAATCATTATTTGACAACACCAAAATTCCCTTGCTTTGTTTCGGTCTTGATCCACTCCACCTTAGTTGATGCTGCCAAAACACAAAAAACAAATTTCTATTAAGAATAGTTTACATTAAAGGTCGAAAATAATGTTGGAAACAAAGAAAAAGTAAAAAAGAAAAAAGAAAAAAACACTTCAGGCATGTATGCAAGTAAGAAAAAACTTACATGTCACAATTGGTGGTCCTGGAGACTGGGATATCCATTTGAACACCGCACTTGGCAGCAAGAGATTGGGTTGCTTCATCTTTCAAGTTCGAGTAGCGATTGGCAACCTGCTTTGGCAACCTGCTTTACGTAGTTGCATGCTGCTCGCTTGTCAGTTGTGGTTGAGGCCATCCCTTTGATGTTTTTGACCCCATCACAGCATGTAGGTGCAAGACTTCCACTTCCTCCAATGAGGTAGGGCACGCACGGGGCCAAATAACCATCAACCTGGCCACAAGAGATGGCCCAGCCTGGCTCCACCATGAGCTGAATCATGGCTAGAACAACCATGGCTATGACTACTCCCTTCATTTCTCCTTAAAGAGGACACTTGAAAGATGCCGAGTGTCCACACCTTGTGAAGTAGGCCATGGTAGCCAAATGTAGCAGGCGCAGTTTTTGGGCTAGAGATTTTAGAGACATTCAGCCGAGCTATCCCCTTATAGGGTGGTTATATTGATGGCTAACCATTTATTTTTTGGTGGTTGGTTGTTGGGAGGCAAGCTCTCCCGTTTGTGTATAAATAGGGAGAGATGTGAGCTAAGTTGATAGAAAGATCAAGTGTGAAGAAAAGAGTGAGTTGTGAAAAGTGTATGATCTGTGAGTTGAGTTGAGAGAGTGAGACTCATTCTCTATTTTGTATTTGTTTTTGTTCATAGTGAAGCTTTCTCTTTTTCTCCTGTGAACGTAGGCATTGGGCCGAACCACGTAAATATTTGTGTCTCATTTGTGTGTGTGATTGCTTGTTGATCATTTTCTGGGTGTCTTTAATCTTAACAAAGTGATATCAGAACCTGGTTGTGTGTTTTTTGAAAAAACAGAGTGTGTTTTTTAGAATTGCCCAGATTTCAGTGGTCAAAATCCACTTTTGATCACACCAGGTTGAAGCACTTGACGAGACGAGCACACAGAAAAAAACCGCGTCGAAAAAGGACGTCAGAGGAGCCTCCACGCGCCGTCATGCGCCATTTGACGCCGTGACCATGCGCAGTGACGTGCAACACACGTTTTTTTCGTTTTGCCATTCGCTGATGTCATCCCCTCGCCGGTCGGTGACGTCTTGCCATCGGGTACCGATGTCATCCGACCTGCGCCGATCCGTGTTGACCCACGCTGACCCGTGTTGACCGAGCCAAGCCGTGTTGACCGAGCTACACCGCCAGCCGCTGATGTCATCTTGACACTAGCCGAACCTAAGAAATTATCCGATGCTTCTTAGCCGCTCCAGATTCTATCGATCTGAACCATTAAACTATTTTGGCTAGATCTAAGCCATTTGAAGTTTTTTTTTGACGATCCAATTGTGCTTTCCAACTATTTGGAATATTCTGGACACATCTGTACGGTCAGATTTTACAAATTAGATTTCAAAATTTTACAATTTTTTATTTTGGCAACACAAAGTGTTTTTCCAGGTAATTTGACCAATCCGGACTCAACGACGAAGTCTGATTTTTCAGACAAAGATCATTTTCTGTAGAGACAATTATTGATGAAGAAATCAACGTCGACTTTGGGATCCATGATCAAGTTGAATGCTTCCAACTATGCAATTTGGAAGCCCAAAATGGAGGATATCCTGTACTGTGGAGATTTGTTTGACCCCATTAAGCTTAATGAAGTTAAACCAATTGCGGAAAAAGATGAAGACTGGAAGCGAAAGAACCGAAAGACCATTGGTCAGATCAGACAATGGATCGATCATAGTGTCTTATACCATGTCGCCCAAGAGACTGATGCCTATGCTCTTTGGACAAAATTCGAAGGCATGTACCAGTCGAACACTGCTCGGAATAAAGCCCTCCTAATGAGAAGGCTTGGAAATTTGAAGCTAAATGGCGACATCTCTGTTGCAGAACACACTAGTGAGTTCCAAAATATGGTGAAGCAACTAGCAATTGTCAAAATGGAGCTGGATGATGAGATGCAGGCCCTATTACTGCTCAGCTCCTTGCCAGATAGTTGGGAGACGTTGGTGGTGACCCGCAGCAACTCTACACCTTAAGGAAGACTGACCACGAACATAGTCACTGATGCTTTATTTAGTAAAGAGGCAAGAAAGAAAGGCATGGATGGAGATCAGTCCCATGCCCTTATCACAAAAAATAAAGGTAAAGGCAGAGGTAAGGGAAGAAGCAAAAGCAGAGGACGCAGCAGAGGAAGATCTCAAGACAGAAGGAAGTCCAGAGAAGGTACGAGCCGCCCAAGGTTCACGTGTTACCATTGTGGCCAGGAGGGTCACATAAAGAAATATTGCAATGCCTTGAAGGAAGAACAAAAATAAGGCAATAGACAGCCAAAGACCGAAGATGGAAACACTGCAGTTACTGTCTCAGAGAATATTGCATTATTCTCTGTTGGAGAAGAAGAATGTTTCCATACGTCAGACAACAAAACCGAGTGGGTGGTAGATATAGCAGCTTCCTACCACGCCACACCCCAAAAGGAGTTTTTCAGTACGTACTAAGCTGGAGATTTTGGTACAGTAAAGATGGGTAACTCCAATTTTTCGAAGATTGTGGGAATCGGTGATGTTTGCATCCAAACCAAAGTTGGGTGCACGATGGTGTTGAAAGATGTCAAGCATGTTCCTGATTTATGCTTAAATCTTATTTCAGGGATAGCCCTAGATCGACAAGCCTATGAGAACCTCCAAATGACAATCAATTTTGTTTGTTTTCTTTTAAACTTTGATTGAGTTCCAAGAAAGAAGAAGGGAAAAAAAATTCAGCTCAGGTTACTACCTCCTGTATGTATATCCATTTAGCTTTGGGACTTTATAAGAAATCATCTCGATTATATGTAAATTTATTATCACCTAACTTGTGAACAACAATCTCCTGCCAGAAACATTATGATTATGGTGTTTTAAGGGTCCACGAAAATTAAATTTTATAGTAGCTGAATTTTCATACATTTGATGTACCAATCAACAATAAGTAAAATGTCAAATAACCCGCACAAGTAGCCCAATGGTATGGAAGGATTGTCTTGGGATGAACCGTAAACTCGAACATCATGGGTTCCACTCATTTTGGTGTTATGTTTGGTCTTAATTGATATACATGGTTTGTGGGTGACTATGGGTATCTGGGGTTTACTCCTTGAGGAGTTTCCTCATAATAAAAAACAAGAAGTGAAATGTCAAACAGAAGAATGTAGGTATGTATAATACCTTTTGTTTTTTTGCTGATTTAGTTATTGTTCTGAATTTGGGACGTGAAAATCTAAAAGCAAAGTGGATGAGGAGCTAGCCATTACAGATGACACATGAAAGCAGAGAAAAAGCCAAAACAATGTAACAGATTATAGGCCTTCATTCCCTTATCTGTTTTACATGATCACCAAATCCTATATATACCCTATTTAACCTTCCTTTCTATCAAGCACATACAAGAATACAATTAATTGCCCAAACTCTCAACTCAATATTTGTTTTTCCAAAGTACCGTGTACAAGGATAGATGAAGGGAGTAGTAATGGTAATGGCTGTGCTAGCCGTGGATCAGCTCATGGTGCAGCCAGGCCAGGCCATCTCTTGCGGGCAGGTTGACGGTTATTTGGTTCCATGTGCCCCCTACCTCATTGGAGGAAGTGGAAGTCCGGCACCTACATGCTGTGATGAGGTCAAAAACATCAAAGGGATGGCCTCAACCACAGCTGACAAGAGAGCGGCGTGCAACTGCGTTAAGCAGGCTGCCAATCGCTACTCGAACTTGAAAGATGAAGCAGCCCAATCTCTCGCTGCCAAGTGCGGTGTTCAAATGGATATTCCAGTCTCCTGGACCACCAATTGTGACATGTCAGTTTTTTCTTACTTGCATAAATGCCGGCAAAATTATTTTTTTTTAAACATTGTTGTTTACTTTTTAATGCTATCCATATTTAATAGAAATTTGTCTTCTTTTCATGACAGCATCAACTTAGGTGGAAGGGATTGAACCAGAAATAAAGCAAAGGAGTTTTGGGCAACAATGGCTGGTCTATTATGCCTAATTTCATGATGTTGTTAAATAATGATTCCATTGAGAGTGATTAAGCTTTACCAGCTTCTTGCCATGGTTTATGTAATCTTCTTGATTTGATATATCTAATAAGAAGACTGATTACCATCATCATCTTTCTCTTCTAATTCTCTGGTTTAACTTTATAGTTGAACTAATGGTGAAAAGAACACTCTCCGCAGGACTACAATATTATTAATATTTCAGTGCACCAGTATTGAGACAATATTGGTAGAGGTGAACTAAATTCCGTTCAAATTTAGATGGATGCAAAACCACTTTAGTGAGAGTGATATTTAAAAAAAAATAAAAAAATAAATTAAGGATTTCAGCAGTGGAGTGCTAATGGTTTCTAGATTTAGGCTATGTTTGGATCTTGAATTTGTACAGGGATTTGTGGAGAGAAAAAAAATGGGAATGAAAAAGTGAGAAAAAAAAAAAAGGTTAGCTTATACGTAATACACTTTTCACTCTACAAATCTATGATCCAAACACAATATTAGACAGATAGTACAGACCTAAAAGCTGTGGAAAAACAGAAAATTGAAAAGAAGCAACAAAGTCCCTACCACATTTTACACCCAATCCGCTAGCTAGATTAAATCCTAAAGGTTTTTATTTGTTTTGTAAATGTTTCTTTGTATGTGTGTGAGAAAGACAGGTGGAACAAAATTACTCTCCACACTAGTTTATAACAATTCCTGCTTTATTAATTTCATTTTCTCTTTTCTTTTCTCTTTTGCAATACAATGGTTAAGTGATAAGAATAGGAGAAACAGAGAAGCAATGTGGTAAAGAAAATTTCATTAGTCTCTTTCTCTTTTTTCTTCCCAATTCTTTCTTTTCATTTGATTTATGTGTCCATCTTAGCTAGCTTTTTATTATAAATAGTATCGTTATCTTAGTAAACCTCCCTTCAAACTTGGACCTTGGGCATGTCAACTAAGGGTAGGTGATGTAGTGGAAACGTGTAATAAAAGAAGCAGGGTAATGATCTTAGAGTCTGTTGATTCATGAGGAAATACCGGAAGGTAGATCTTTCTCTAAACCCGTTAATTCACAGAGAATACCGGGATTAAAGACTTGACAATGGTTAATTCTCAGAAGAATACCCAAGGTTGGAAGAAAGAGTATAAACTCAAATTATATTAATCATCAAAATTGCTTACTCTATGGCTTACAACCATTGTTTATAATGAAAAGCGAACTCAACCTGACTAAGAAACAACCAAAATAGGCAAGTCCTTAAGTAATACGACAAAAATAACACCCCGAAAATTACCAAAAATGAAAATATTGAAACGGAATAGGGAAACTACTAATTAAACTTCTATGTGAAAAGAAGAATTGATAGAATCGGATTCTAACTTCTATAGAAAGAGTAATCAACAAGACAAATCTTTCGAAAAATGGCAAAATCGTGAAATTGATGCCATAAAAGAAATGAATCAGCCCAAACTCCACCTGGACCCATGGCAAAGTGATGGATCCTGATCTGCGTGACATTTCCCATTACTCCACAAAATTTCACGCAATTCTCAACATGTGCTGCTTGATTCATATTTTCTCGAGTGCCTATCCATATTTGTTATAAGAATTGCATGTCCAAGCACACTGCATCATGAGGCCATACTATTCAAGTGACCACCTCCAACACCCATTATTGGAGATGTACTCAAACAATGTTTCAATGGTCAAGTAATGCTGAAAATTTTCAGTAAGTTTCCAAAAAAACTTAGCTCTTTGGTGGATTATGATCACTTAGCTATATGAGGTGAAAGTTTTGATTTCAGTTTCACAAATTGTTCTCAATATTGATTTGTCAAGAAACTCTGATACCTTCCTCCAAACATAGCCTAGTACTAATTAGGCATAGACTCCTTTCTAAGAAATAATCAATAAATTCCACTGCCCACTCCTATCTGTTGGTGCAATCTTTATACTGAGAAGTTGTGTTTAAATAAATCAAATAAAGTAAATAATCCCACAAAATAAATTTGAAGGATTGAGTCTTAAACTTCCAACACCATCCACATATGTTAACAAGATTTTTGATGTACTAATCAACAGTTGGTAATATTATGATTATGGCTGAATTATTATATATTTGATGTACTAATCAACAGTAGCTCATAGAGAGGAATACCAGTATGTATCATACTTTTATTTTCTGCTCTTTTAGTTATTGTTAGGAATTTGAGACGCGGTGAATTTCTGAAAGCAAAGTGGATAAGGTAAGATTTAGTTGTGCCACTAAAGCAATGATCAACGAAAAAGGAATGGTGGACATGTCACACCAAGCAACTGAATGAACAGCAAAAACTGTCAAAAGAAGAAACACCAAAAAGTGTTTGAAATGCTCATCCCCTTTTGCTAAGAACAATAAAAGCTACCACATAAAAGCAGAGAAAAAGCTAAAACAATATAATAGATAATAGTTAATAGTTAAGCCTTCGTCCACTTGCATGTTTTACATGATCACCCAAGTCCTAAATATACCCTATCTAACCTTACCTTCTATCAAACAAATGCAATAATACAATTAAAAGCCCAAACTGTTAACTCAATATTTGTTTTTCAAGTGTCCTATACAAGGAAAGATGAAGGGAGTAGTCATAGTGATGGTTGTGCTAGCCATGATCCTGCTCATGGTAGAGCCAAGCCGGGCCATCTCTTGTGGCCAGGTTGACGGTTATTTGGCCCCGTGTGTGCCTTACCTGATTGGAGGAAGTGGAAGTCCAGCACCTACATGCTGTGGTGGGGTCAAAAACATCAAAGGGATGGCCTCAACCACAGCTGACAATCGAGCAGCATGCAACTGCGTAAAGCAAGCTGCCGATCGCTGCTCAAACTTGAAAGATGATGCAGCTCAACCTCTTGCTGCCAAATGCAGTGTTCAAATGGATATCCCAGTCTCCCGGACCACCAATTGTGACATGTAAGTTTTTTCTTACTTGCATACATGGTTGAAGTGTTCTTTATTAACATCATTTGATAGAAATCTTTTTTTTTTTGTTTTTTGACAGTATCAATTAAAGTGGAGGAGACCATACGCCACAAATAAACCAAGTGAGTTTGAGGAACCAGCAGCAAGTTAATTATGCCTAATTGCATGGTGTTGTCAAATAATGATTCCATTAAGAATGAGAATCTTTGTAATACTTAAAATTCTTGACAAAATTTATGTAAGCTTCTCGAGCTACAAGTTTGATGTATCTAATAAGAAGATTGTTTACCATCACCATCTTTCTCTTTTAATTCTCTGGTGCTCTCTCTCTCTCTCTCTCTCTCTCTCTCTCTCTCTCTCTCTCTCTCTCTCTCTCTCTCAACTCCTAGTTGCATAAATAATCATAACCCTTTTTTAACCCTAAAATGCAAGTGGAAAACCGCTACAAATTGGCAATGAGTTATGGATTTGATTCTGTTGAATTCACCCCATGTGAAGGGGAAATTGTCTTGTGAACACACCTTGGTCAACAATGGAAGGCAACCAACCAAGTCAAGCTTGGCGGCCACCAACCATCTTGAAGAGTCAAGGATGGAGGCTGCCCAAAGGCTCTCCCACCCACTCCCTCACCTATAAATGGAGGTTGAGAGGAGAGGCCAAAGTGTGAGTAAGAGAGTGAGGAAGAAAACCGTGAACCAAAGAGTGCGAGAGATGTGAGGCGGAGAGACCGTCTCCCTCGGTGTGAGCGAGGGAGACGGGTGAGTGGCTGAGTGAGGAGAGTGTGAGCTCCTCCTCTATTGTAATCTTTCTGTAATCTCCTCATTGGTATAGTGATAACCGGTTACTCTCCCGTGGACGTAGGCATTGGGCCGAACCACGTAAAATATTGTGTCTCCTTGTGTGTGGGTGTGTTTTTTCTGCTTGCAATGATTTCTATAAGGTCTTGGGCGGGATCCCAGATCCCAACAAGTGGTATCAGAGCCTCGTCGGTGGCGTTTCGGAACAAAAACAGCGTGTTGTCCGAAACTGCCCAGAAATCAAGTTACTCGAAATCCGATTTTGAGCATACCAGGAGCAAGGGCTCGAGAAGAGGAGTCCAACCATATAAAAAAGACACCCAGAAGAGCTTCCACGCGCCCTCACGCGCCGCCTGAAGAAGGCGCGTGAGTCCCAGTCTCGGAACGCGCCGCCACGCGCCGTGAAGGCAGCCGGCGCGTCGGCCCAATCTCAGGCACGCGCCCCACGCGCGGATGAAAGAAGAAGACGAGTGGGGGGAGGCGCGTGTATAGCACGCGCGTGCCACGTCATCAGCCACGTCAGCTGCCACGTCATCCGCAGGAGGAAGAATCCTGTGTTTTGCGGCGAAGGTACAGCCGCAGATCTGAGGCGTACAAAATGTTTTGGCTAGATCGAAGCCATTTGGAGTCCGTTTTTGGTGATCCAATAGTGGTTTCCGACTATTTGGAGTATTCCGGACACATCCATACGGTCAGATTTTGGAGATGGAGTTTCTGTAAAAAGAAGGCAGATTAAAGTGGCAGACGGCGTTAGGGACAGTGGACGGAATATTCTGTTGGAACACGGAATATTCCCTGAACTTCTGAAAATTGCAATTTGGCCCAACATTTTCAGAAAATTGTGGTGTGGCCCAGCTTTCGGGGATAGTTTTTCAGTGAGGTCCCTGGAAGTGCAGCGAAGGTTGGTTCTAGCTAAACGGACCGCTCCGGACGCAACCGCGAGGTCAGAATAGTGAAATTCTGAACGGTTTGGAAAGATTGTCAAAACATGGGAGTTTGTCATCTTCAATACTCAAAGGAAGGTTGCCGGATATTGTGGAACGCTGCGGATTCACTGAAGTGGTTAGAATGGGCAGATTCTGACCAGATTGGACAACCAGATACAGATTGAGATAGATCATTGAAGACCAGAGGAGATCAGGCTTGATCAAATGGCAGATCGAGGGAGATCAGGATTTTGGTATGTGTTGACTTGGCAACCCATGTGGAAGAGAGGAGATTGGAGACATGGATGAGGAAGGTCTAAAAGGTTGAAGGTGGGGAGCTGGGGCACGTATTTCACTAACAACTTGGAGATTTACAGTTGGAGGGGGCCCGGTTGGCATGCTTGAGAAAAGGACTGATGGGTGGTGCACAACCTGCACAGGCGGTGATGGGTGGTGCACTACCTGTGCCGGCGGTGATGGGTGGTGCACAACCTGCAAGGGCGGTGATGGGTGCTGCATAACCTGCACAGGCGGTGATGGGGGCTGCATAACCTGCATCGGTGGCAGTGGTGTCTGCTGGCTGGCGGCAGCTGGGACAACAGAAGACGAACCAGCAAGAATGGAAGGCCCTGCTGCAGACTGTGATGATAGCAGAGAGTGCATGAAATTTGAATTCACAACTTGCTGCATTCCCATGGCCCCATAAGACCTGATGTCTGGGCACTTCAACCGGTAAGCCTCAGCCAACATTTTATTCATGAGAACTTTCTGGTGATTCGTATCAAGCTCCTTTTTTTTCAATAAAAATGCTGCTTCAGCAGCATGAAGTATAGCTTCATGCTTCCGACAAATTTCAGCAATAATTTCCTCTATCTCCTTCTCACAATCAGATTTCAGCTGCTGCTTCGTATCTTCATAGACCTTCATTGCTTGATCTGCTTCTTTACGTAACCTTTCCAATTCGTTTTGAAGTGGGTCAGGATATGAAGGATGAGCTGGCATCCGAGAGGCAATTTGGTGTGGACCAAATGGAAGATGTGTTTCAAATCCACAGGTAGTGCACCAAGGGTGAGCAAAGATCTTCTTCCCACCAGAGGTGTAATACCCATGAGTCAAATGACCACCAGAAGGCAAATCCAGGCCCATGATCCGATCATGGGGGTTGAGAACAGCCGTGTAGGCTGCGAAATTGGCGGGACTACCTGAGTATGGTTGATCATTGACAGAGAAAGAGAGAAGCAGCCGAGGCGAGTGAGGTTGCAGGTGGGGTTGGCTCAGTCGCGGAGTTGTGGCTGGAAATAATGGCCAGGCTGGAGGCGACAGACACGAGGTGCGTAGGTCGCGCAAGCTGGTTGGTTGAGCACACAAGGCAGATCTCATATACGGTGTTGCCATGTAACCGTGATGGAAGAGGAGGTTCGGTTATGGAATTTGTGGCAGCGGAGTCAAGGTATGTGTTTGTGATATGTGTTGAAAAACTCCCGCGGGCAGCGAAGGCAAGGTTGCCGGCCGGCTGCCCGCCGGAAAGAAAGGAGTATAGGCCTAAATCTTATTGCTCTGATACCATGTAAAAATATATTGATAGAGATAAATTGTATGTCTTATTAATTAATTTATTGATTGTTACAATGATTCCTATATATATAGAAGAGTAGGTGGTAGATGGAGTAGGTAAAGTGGAGGTGGTAGTGGTGTAGTGGGTTAGGTTTAGTGGAGTAGGTGAGGTGGTAGTGGTGTAGTGGGTTAGGTTTAGTGGGTGAAGTAGGTGATAGGTTTTAACACTTCTCGAGCTACAAGTTTGATGTATCTAATAAGAAGATTGTTTACCATCACCACCTTTCTCTTTTAATTCTCTGGTGCTCTCTCTCTCTCTCTCAACTCCTAGTTGCATAAATAATCATAACCCTTTTTTAACCCTAAAATGCAAGTGGAAAACCGCTACAAATTGGCAATGAGTTATGGATTTGATTCTTATATCAATGTTGCACAAAACCATGGTACCATTTAAAATATGATTCTGCATTGCGTCTTGTGCGTCATAAACTCACAATTTTCCATTTTCTCGCAATTAATTCAACCAAATGATTGCTTATCCATAAAACTGAAAAATAATGCTATACAAACAAATTTTTCTTACAAACTGATGACGCGGCATATCATAGTTGTTCGTATCATTTAATTTCAGTTGGTCCCATTTCAAATTCCAAGACTTTGTTACTACGCACCATGTCAGTTTGTAAAAAAAAAGTTTGGGACAAGTACTCCCCACACAATTAGGGACATTTTCTGAGAAATTAGAAACAAAATGAATGTCTAAACACATCTAATTGGGACAAATATACAGTCCCGCTGGTGTTCCCGACCCCCCAGATAATCTCCACATGTAAAGGATTATAGCCATAACTGTCATGGAGATAAGAACTAACTCAACTAACTTTGTCATCCTTTTACTATTTAGAGCAGAAAGTGGCATTTCAAAGCCATAAAGAAGCCAAAATTATTTAACAGATACTATGCAAACAGTCACCAAATGCTCCATATATTATCCACTTGAGCACATATTGTACATAACCACCTGTGAGAACCAAACGGAGGATCGCTACCCTTCCATTTTAAGTGAAAAAATATCCAGAACCATGAGAACCGACATTTTTAATGTCATGGCAAGCATCAAGATGGGACACGAGCATTTTGTATCCATTGCAAAAGTTAATTCCATAAATAAATAAAGTAGGATTTTTAAGTGCAACATCATAAAGCACAATAACTGAAATTATCGCTTTGCATATTAGCGATATAACTTTCTAAGCCGCACTATCAAATCCAATATAATCTTTGTTGACTCAAAACGAATAATGATGATATGGTTCCAATACAAACTAACTGTCAAATATTTGAGTTCAAAATTAACAGGAAAGTTCAAATTCGAAAGAGACGAGTGTCTCTCCAAAATCTGCAATCAAGTGTTGTTGGAATGCCACGAACAAAAAAACGGCAATAGTTGGCAGACAACCAATTCTATGGATTCAATTCTCTTTCTTCAAGCCATTGGATGTCGCCTCCTGCAATTTTACAAGTTACTCATCAAACGAAATGAAGCGTCTCAAATACATGTGTTTCCATCTTCTTAGTAGAGATTGTCAATTTCCCAATATGTCAATTTAATTTGTAATTAGACTTTCCCCTTCATAAGGTGATTTTATGCCGATCTATATGATACTATCTATATGGTTAAGTAGGCAGAGAAAAACCCGACAATACAGACAGTTCTCTAAATAAATGTAGTTTGGACAATAAAGCAACCAAATTGTAGCTGTAACATGCCATATTCCCAATTACATTGAAACATTACATCACTGAAAATCAATTACATGGGGAGTCTGGATTGTCATGTGTTACCTCTTTGGTCGGCTTCGGTCTTCCTCGTAGTCCATCACTCCACCAGGTTCAGAGTAGATCTCCTCATGCCCTCGGAAGTCAATGTCGGCCTGCTCACAGTGTTTAACTTCTGCCACAACGTAAGTAAGACACATCGACAAACATACCCCAGCAATTCAATTAAGACTAATTTTCACATCTATGTTTTGATAAAACCATAACTACTAGAAATTCACCAAAAAAAAAAAAAAGAAAAAGGGTTCCTGAGATAATAGTTGCTAGCTTCCAGCCAGCCTGACTGCTTTTAATAAAAATCAAAAGAATGCAGACTATAGGTCCAAAACACACTGGCTATCCTCTCTATTCTCCTCCCCTGAATATGGTGGAAACAAGCGGCCACCAACCATCTTGAAGAGTCAAGGATGGAGGCTGCCCAAAGGCTCTCCCACCTACTCCCTCACCTATAAATGGAGGTTGAGAGGAGAGAGCAAAACGTGAGTAAGTGAGCAAACCGTGAGACAACAAAGAGAGTGAGAGATGTGAGGCGGAGAGACCGTCTCCCTCGGTGTGAGCGAGGGAGACGGGTGAGTGGCTGAGTGAGGAGAGTGTGAGCTCCTCCTCTATTGTAATCTTTCTGTAATCTCCTCATTGGTATAGTGATAACCGGTTACTCTCCCGTGGACGTAAGCATTGGGCCGAACCACGTAAAATAGTGTCTCCTTGTGTGTGGGTGTGTTTTTTCTGCTTGCAATGATTTCTATAAGGTCTTGGGCGGGATCCCAGATCCCAACAGATTCTTATATCAATGTTGCACAAAACCATGGTACCATTTAAAATATGATTCTTGGCATTGCGTCTTGTGTGTCATAAACTCACAATTTTCCATTTTCTCGCAATTAATTCAACCAAATGATTGCTTATCCATAAACTGAAAAATAATGCTATACAAACAAATTTTTCTTACAAACTGATGACGCGGCATATCATAGTTGTTCGTATCATTTAATTTCAGTTGATCCCATTTCAAATTCCAAGACTTTGTTACTACGCACCATGTCAGTTTGTAAAAAAAAAGTTTGGGACAAGTACTCCCCACACAATTAGGGACATTTTCTGAGAAATTAGAAACAAAATGAATGTCTAAACACATCTAATTGGGACAAATATACAGTCCCGCTGGTGTTCCCGACCCCCCAGATAATCTCCACATGTAAAGGATTATAGCCATAACTGTCATGGAGATAAGAACTAACTCAACTAACTTTGTCATCCTTTTACTATTTAGAGCAGAAAGTGGCATTTCAAAGCCATAAAGAAGCCAAAATTATGTAACAGATACTATGCAAACAGTCACCAAATGCTCCATATATTATCCACTTGAGCACACATTGTACATAACCACCTGTGAGAACCAAACGGAGGATCGCTACCCTTCCATTTTAAGTGAAAAAATATCCAGAGATTGTTCCAAACTAGGACAGGATGCTTATCCGAATGCAGGATTGCGTGAAACCACTTTGTTTGACTAGTGAACCCTAGTTCCTAACGAAACTAGAACAGGGTATCCTTACCCCTTCATAGGGGTGTTTTGGTTCTCATTTAACTGGTATGTGTTTTACAGTGAAACTGTACAGGAACGTGCATATCAGTTACAAGGTTGGTATCTATTTTGGGGCAAAATTGAGCTAAGAATGTAATCACTCAGCTATGATCATATCCGTTCTAGTGAAATTGGGCTAAGGAGCTGTCTGTTTTCTCTTTTGCTAGGTAGTCTTGGAACCGTAGCTTCAGAAGGTTCTGATATCCCCCGGATACTTTGGACTTGTGTTGATAGACTTTGTCAGGACAGAGATTTAGTTCAAAGGCAACCAATGTTTCCTTCGCTAGTGGCAAGGCAAAAAAGGGCCAGATAGGGCTCACCAATTCCACTGTTCCGACATTTACCAGAATGACATTCCACATGATGATGCCCCTTTTGAGGTACTCGTGCTTCCACCTGCTGAGGGTGTTAAGGAGTCGATGATTAAGGAGACTGGCGGAGCGGTGGAGGACATTGTTGCTGATATTTCTGCGGAATAGATCTACCCTCCGACGCCCAAGCCTGAGTTACTACCATTAGGGGTGAGGCCTTTCGACCCTACCACCTACCATCCACGCACTCATGTGATGGCGCCCGGAGGCATGCTTTGTTTTGAGGACTTCGCTGGGGGCGTGCCTGAGGACTTTCTGTTGAGGGAGCATGCCTCTTATCTCTCCTACGAGGCTACTGAGGTAAGAACCTTGCTTTCATGTACTTTGCTTGCTTTTCCATTTCATTATAGTCTTTCATTCTGTTATGCACTTAACAAATTCCTCTTTCAACATACGGTGATGCTCTCGCCTAGAGAGGCTACGGAGCAATAACTGCCAGAGACTGGTACCAGGAGCTTCCTACTCGAGTCAGAGAGCTAGTGGACGATGCAGGATACAACTTGTTCACGCTTGAGATTGGGGCACTTTCCCACCATAGAGAAATGATGGGACTTGAAACGGCGCACCCGGAATCACATTTCGGAATTGTCAGAAGCTGAAACAAACCTAAATTCTTAAATTTTCCACTTTAGGATGAACACAAGACCCTCTATGCACAGAATATACAAGATCTCAGTGGAAATCCACTCTGGACCACTTGAGGAGTCAACCAGCCAAAAGAATGGGTCAGCCAGCCAACAAATGCACGACCGACCACCCGATGCAGTTTCGGCGGCAAAAAGGGCATTTCGGCCCGTGGCTTATTTAAACAACACTTTGGCTTCATTTATCACACACCCCACCACCAAAAATCCTAACCCTCTCTCTAGGCACTTTCTCTCTCTAGATTTTCACTTTACTCGCATTACCCATCCCCCCTCACACAAACTTGTTTCATAAAACACTCGTAGTCCTCTACACTCTGAACTAATTGGATTTTATTTTGGTTGAGTTTTGGGGCTTTTCATTGTTTTTTGCTCATTTCTCATGGGTTTTTCTTGGTTTCCGTACTTCCCCCTCCCCCTCCCAAGTTTTGACTTTTTTCTCTCTTTTTCTCTCTCTTAGGGTTTTGACTTTTGGATTTTTTGCCTATCTCCCTCATTTTCTCTCACCACCCACTATTTTTCTCCATGGTGAATGACATTCCACATGATGATGCCCCTTTTGAGGTACTCGTGCTTCCACCTGCTGAGGGTGTTAAGGAGTCGATGATTAAGGAGACTGGCGGAGCGGTGGAGGACATTGTTGCTGATATTTCTGCGGAATAGATCTACCCTCCGACGCCCACGCCTGAGTTACTACCGTTAGGGGTGAGGCCTTTCGACCCTACCACCTATCATCCACGCACTCATGTGATGGCGCCCGGAGGCATGCTTTGTTTTGAGGACTTCGCTGGGGGCGTGCCTGAGGACTTTCTGTTGAGGGAGCGTGCCTCTTATCTCTCCTACGAGGCTACTGAGGTAAGAACCTTGCTTTCATGTACTTTGCTTGCTTTTCCATTTCATTATAGTCTTTCATTCTGTTATGCACTTAACAAATTCCTCTTTCAACATACGGTGATGCTCTCGCCTGGAGAGGCTACGGAGTAATAACTACCAGAGACTGGTACCAGGAGCTTCCTACTTGAGTCAAAGAGCTAGTGGACGATGAAGGCTTCGGCTTATTCTACTTATGGCTCATGCAACTACAGGCTAGTCGGGCCTTACTTAGTGCTCTGGTGGAGATGTGGTGGGACACCACCAACTCCTTCCACTTCTCCACTACGAGAGAGATGACGATGACCCCGTATGATTTCTCCATGATCACGGGATTACGAGTAGGGAGTGATTAGATCCCCTTTGACATCGACATGGGCCGGTGAAAGATGGCCTAGATATATCTACTTGGAGCATGCCCTCCCATAGACAGGCCAGCCATGGTCAGATATAGTTGGTTCTACTATTATTTCCACAGGAGCTAGCCCAAGACTCAGGAGCAAGTCAAGCAATATACCTAGGGCTTCTTGATTTATCTCCTTCATACCGCCTTGTTTACGAACATGTGGAATACCGTATGTTTGTATCTGCTCAGCGCGCTAGTGGTCTTGTCTCGGGTACGATTCTATGACTGGGGTGCCATTGGCCTTGCCAATCTGTATGGCTATATGAGCTCTGGTTCCCGCAAGAAGGGGAACAAGGTCGGGAGCTATTTGAGAGCCTGAGAGGTACACATTGTGCTTTTCTGTTCATTTTTGTTTGCACATTATGCTTTCTACTTTGCACTTTCTGTATTTATTTCTATTGTACATCATGCTTTCTGCTTTGCCCCTTATGTATTTATTTCTATTGTACATCATGCTTTCTACTTTACCCTTTATGTATTTATTTCTATTGTACATCATCCTTTATGCTTTGCACTTTCTGTATTTATTTATATTTCCTCATGTTGACTCACAAACTGATCTTTTCTTGCAACTCTGGGTTTATACATATTCCCCCACCTTTGCCCCCATTCCGAGAGATGAAGTAGAGGCTATTATGCCCTACTCCAGGCGGTATGACGGCCAATGCTACCCTCGGCGCCATGGTGATACTATCTTTGCCTATTATCGTTGTTTCTTTGACACGGTGTCAGTGCGAGAGGTACTCTGACACTCATACTCATTTCTATTCTCTTTCCATGCTATGGCTTCAGCCTATACTCTGACAACTAACGCCAACTAACAATTGCGAATTCTCTGTTCCCAGGTTACTTGGCAGCCGTGGGTAATGATGCCAGTAGGGACGAAGGATGAGTATGACGGGTCTTGGGACACCTCCCGGGTTCGGATCTTGCTAGAGGGCCCTTTCTGCAGCACCTGGTATTTGGGGAGAGATCTGTACGCCAGACCCTGGGCCTACCTGCCACTATTGTTCTTGCCCCACCACTCCACCATCTATGAGAACAACTGATGGTCTACCAGTCGAGGCCATCGTGCAGTTTATGGTGGGACATTATGTTGATCTTTTCTGCGGGGTTAGGAATTATGCTGAGTTCATCTGGACCCATCTTATGCCATCCCTGACTGGAGCTCACTCAAGAGGCACTGCAGATGCGCCCGCTGCTCGAGGTGCTGCTCACGCGGCCGAGCCTGAGGTTGGAGGGGCTGCCCCTACTATTCACATAGCCGATCTGCCAAAGATCCCGACTTTGATCACATATTACTGGCCGAGTGGGACGGCCCACTAGATTCCAATTTAGCAGCCGGAGGAGGATGAGCATGTTAGGGACCCTGTCATCCAACATGTATGCATTTTGTCTTGCAATTTGTATTTTACATTCTTTTTTTTCCTGTATATTG